GATTGCTTTGGAATGTACACTGCGTTGCGACTGTAGTGCTAAGAAAACAGTTAAATTTTAAAAGCGCGGTTATAAGATCTAACAGATCTTCTTGTATTTCAAAAGCTCGCCAGACTTCGTCCCTACCGTGCGTCGTTGGTCTCTGCTGCTGTTCGAACGTCTGTTTTTTTTGATGGGTAGAACACTTTTCCGAATAACGTGCGAATGAAAAACCGCACAAGACCTAAATCGTGGCCAGGGTTTTTTATATATCAATCATCTGTCATATCCCAGATTCTCGACTTAATTTATTGAATGATTACGATTTTTAGTTTTGGTGGCGGGACATATATTGCAGTGTCAACCAGCCATAAACGTGTTTATATACTTGGTAATGTGTTTATTTCCAATGTTATGTATCATTATTTTCTTTCCTGTTGTGTTTTTAGTGTCAACAAGGTCAACACTTGGCTTCACTGGAACTACAGGGTCTACCGCCACGCCTTATGGTATAGAAAAGAATTGGTTCATGCTTTTAGCACGTTCCAGAAAAAAAGCGCTTGAATACGAGTCAGAGACAAAACAAAAACTTAAAAAAGAATCAAAATGGAGAATTTTCACAAATTGTAAAGTATTAAACTGTTCTGGGTATAGCAGAGGTAAAAGCTCTGATGTTCTAAAGTTGGCAAAAATGTGTCTGTTGCAATTTCTTAGAAGAGCGTATGTTTCTACTGTTTTCAAACTGTAGGTTGGTATGCTGGTCAACATGGTAGGTCTTGTAAGCACATACGGGATTCAGGGGGCTCTAGAGGAGACGAGGAGTACTGGATCGACCCCGAGAGGAGTGGAAACCCTTTAAAGGTCTTCTGTGACATGACAACTGACGGAGGTATGTTGTGGATAGCGATAGCAATGACAGTGTACAAAATATATTGCATTTGCCGGAACGCAGTAAAGGGTACAACAGACTCTAAGCTTTTCACTACTTTGGACTAGAAGCTTTCACTCTTAATAGCAGATTTGCACGTTGTCGTCATTTGACTACAACTACCACAATTCCTTTCGTTTTTCCTTAATTATTTAAATTTTGAAGTCCCAGTGGGGTTTAAATAACAATTGCCCTAATTAGCATAAGAAACAGAAAGAGTGAAGGATTCCGGTAGTTGTAGTCAAATGACGCCATCATGCAAATCGCCTATTCCGTCAAGATCTAGAAATCTCATGTTTCTTTGCATTGATGACTTATTTTGCTTTATACATTTTGATGTTCTTTCTTGTCGTGTTATAAGTGGACCTGACTGCTAGCTTAAAGGAGCTCAGTCATAGGCGTTAGAGCTGGGAGGGCGAGGGGGGCTGCANCCCCCCCCCCCCCCCCCCCCCAGCTACGGAAATAACGCAATTTTTCGGGCGAAACGTTGATGATTCGGGCAAAGACACTTGAGAGAAAACATTACAAAATAATACTGTTGGCGTGATTTCCAAAACTCGTAAATAAAGGTTCCTACTTTTTATGTCTCTCTGTGTTATTAGACGCCCGACCGGGGCTCTGTGGGCCGTCAAGTGGTTGCTTACCAAAAAAGAGTTGCTACCTAAAGTAGTACCGTGTTAAGTGTACCATTTGTATCTGCTACTGATCTGAAGTATCGATCGTCGCGCACCGAAGACACCATGGTAATCAGTCGGGACAGTGGCCTTTCCGACCTTTTCTGTTAGGTTTCAAGGCTTGTAAGCTACCTGGGGTTTTCTGTTGGCTACAATTCGGTTAAATGTGTATCGTAGAAATCCACGATAAGGATATTATTTTCTTTCCTAATTTTCCATCGACAAAACAAGGACACGAATCAAAGCGAACGTAGACCAAGACTTTTGTTTTTGTGGAAGCTCTGAGAAGAGCTCTTTGGAATGTCTTACCAATGGGGTGTTTTAATTTTTTTTCTTGAATTTTTCTTTGGAGGTCAGTGTTTTTCTAGTACTTCCATGTTGTTTAATTAACATCTTATTGACGTGGCTTCTGAATTCATGGAAGGCTGGCAGTGTAAGCTGCAACTGTTTGCTGTGGCCAAAACAATACTATCTCGAAGGATTTCTAGCAATACTTCGTGTTGTTCTTTGAACGTCGCGAGTATGTCGAGACGCTCGTCTCGAATATAGGATAGCTTCTGTAACAGTCGTCCAAACTGTCAATGTCTATGTTGCTGAACGAACGCCATAAAAGGAAGAACTTTTTCTTTTAATAAGTTTTAGATTTACTTGATTGAAACTGTTGATAGAGGTCATCGAGTATGCAAGCTTTCAATAGAACTATCTTTGTGAACGTTTTTGTTTTTCACGCATTTTGAGTGCGTTTACACCCCGATTTCAACACTCACGCATTCGGGCACTGCGTATTTTTTTTCGGGCAAGAAGGTCACCGCCCCCCACCTGTCCCCTTTCCCCCGAGCCCGTAGGTACCCCTACCAACCATGCAAGATAGCCTGTGGCGAGATTTCGCGCACGAGTACTTCGTTTCGTACAAGTTGGAAAAACTCCATCTGCTTAGTACGAGTCAAAACTTAGAATATGAAAAAGTACGTTAATCGTTTTGCACCAAGAGTCCATTTCCCGGAGCCTCCATCTCCAGGAGCCCATTGTAATTACAGATGAAACAGCTCTTGTGGGGGTTTTCACACGAACCCTTTTCAATACCCAATGATACCCGAGCTATGACCATTCTTTGTTACAACAAAGTCTGAGATCCCCCTTTTGCCCTCATTTTGCATTTTCTATCTGCACTTGAAATTTTGTGGGAAACCAAGAGACCCTTGCGCTTATCACAGCTCTAAAATTAGAATGATACGGGAAAGGGTTGACTCTACGTTATGGTAGGTATGGAGGCTCCGGGTGATGTTTTGCACTGACATAGTTCAGGCCCGCCTAGCGGTTACTCCCTTGTCCGGGTTGTATAGGCCAAGTGCACGGCGTCAAAGGCTTGATGGGTATGGTTGAGCTGTTTGGGTTTTATTCTGGGCTGAAGTAGGTTACGAATTCTGGTCAGATCGTTCCATAATCAGATCCGATTCCAAGTCAGATCGTTCCACAGTATAGTCAGATTTTCCCACAAGAAAAAAACATCATGAAAACATTCTTACTGAATGAAAATGTAACGAAACAATACAACTTTATGATTAGTTGAATGAACGAGTCGATAAAAAAGGTGTTGCCTTCTTACCTGATTCTATTCAAACATACGTCACCACGACTCACGTTCCAGTTTGAAAGGGCTAAAAACACTTTTTTTCCGTCCCTCGGAAACAGTACACCTTTTTCTCCGAGTGTACTTGTTAATGTTGTTGCACCTGGTAAGTTGAATTTATCGAAAACTGGGTTGATTTTACAAGAACGAAGTTCAATTTCAAGGTGTATAAATACATTTACTCTAACGATCCTGAAAACAGCTTATAGTTCTGATTTATCAATCGTGTGAACAGTACTTACTTAGAACTTCACTCGAATTTCACTCGTGGAGCCGATCTTTTAGCTATTCTAAGGATCTTTTATCTGACTATTTATAAGTGGAACCGAGAACGAACTGACCGCATTACATATAGTACTTTGGAATGATCTGAGCATCGAACAGTCTGACTGGATACCGTAGGGTACGTATAGCTTGTGCGGCTCTGGTCTGGATCTTGGTATTTTATTTCAGATAAAACTTTTTTTCCCCGTTAAAATCGGAGATTTTAAGCCCTTCTCAAAAGTTTTTCGCACAGCCATTCCTGGTTAGCTGTGGTCATGTGTGTTCTAATTTCAGTTAAGGGTCTAAAATCGCATAGTTTGGTCTGAAATAAGGTGAAGATTTGAAGAAAACAGGGCGCGGCACCTGGTTGAGTACCCCCTGATGTAGAAAACTAAGCCGCAGACCAAAAATTCGCAGGCTCTGAAAGCGAAGTCAGAGCAAGTACACACGCAACCCTTTGGACTTTTTATTAAGTTTACTCATTTCAAGAAATGACTTGAAAACCGGGACAGTGTCCAGACTCATCAACAGAATCGTTTTAAATCCAAAAGAGGGCCTCGACAGGAAAAGAGGTCAAAGGCTTCTGAACTGAAGAACCCTATTGACGACACCGGAAGTTGCAATGGACAACGAGCTCAAATGTGATCACAATAACTTGGAAACAGGTTCCACAACGCGACCATTTTACCCAATCGCTGGAGAAAGCAATACACATAGAGAATTCTGTTGCAAGCATAGAAGTGAACATTTAATAGAAGATGCACCTTCTAGTCGAC